TGATGGTTGAGGGGCAACCGAAGTTTGCTACCCATCGTTCGACGAAGGTGCGGGCCACTGTTTCAGCAGTGATGTCCTTGATAGGTACTGCTTCTGGCCATCGAGTGAAACGGTCTACGCAGGTTAAGAGATAAGAGTATCCATTTGAATCTGGTAAAGGTCCTACCAAATCCAGATGAACATGGTCGAAACGAGCATCGGGAGTTTTAAACGAGCCTAAGGGACATTTATTGTGTCTGATAACCTTAGATTTTTGGCAGCTTACACAGGAGCGTGCCCACTCCCTCACGTCCTTATTCATGCCAGGCCAGCAAAACCGTTCTGCTATAAGCTTGATGGTTGCACGAACACCTGGATGCGAAAGTTTGTGCAATGTGTTGAAGACATTGCGTCGATAATGTTTCGGCACGATTGGGCGATCCCTACCTGTAGATGTGTCACAAATTAAGGTTTCCTTACCTGTTCCCATCTGTTTGATGCGTAGTTTAAGGGTTGTGGACGATAACTCGTGCTGAAGATCAGTGTCTTCTTTTTGAAACTGGGCGAGTTTAAGAAGGTCGATTCCTTGGAAACTGTTCAAGGAAGTTATGCGAGATAAGGCGTCTGCAACTACATTGTTTGCTCCAGAGATGTGTTGAATATCTGAAGTAAACTGCGAAATGTAGTCCAGTTGTCGAGACTCACGGGGAGAGTACTTGTCTGAAGGAGAGCTTAACGAGAAAGTGAGCGGTTTATGGTCCGTGAAAAGAGTGAATTCACGGCCTTCGATATAGTGTTGAAAATGTCGTACAGCACAATACATAGCTAGGAGTTCCCTACCGAATGTGCTGTACCTCGATTCGGTGTCTAGCAACCTTCTAGAGAAAAATGCCAAGGGTTGGCAAGAGTTGTTAACCCATTGTTGTAGGACTCCTCCGATTGCCGAGTCGGATGCGTCTACTGCGATGCTAATGGGTGCTCGGGTGTCCTGATGTGCGAGCATTGTTGCTTTAGCAATCAGTTCCTTAACTGTGGAGAATGCTTTTCGTGCGGTGTCGTCTAAATTAACGGATTTCGCATTTCCACGAAATTGGTTGGTCAGAGGTTTCATGAGTAATGCGCATTTCGGTATGAAACGTCTATAGAAACTTACGAGACCGTTAAACGTGCGTAATTGCTTGACGGTGGTCGGTTCTGGGTAATCCAGAATGGCCGCCACTTTGGTCCTAAGAGGTCGAATGCCTTGAGCATCGATAGTATGTCCCAGAAAGTCTAATGAGTCGGTTCCAAATTGGCATTTCTGAACGTTTACAGTAATGTAGTCGTTCGAAAACAAGATCCAGATGCTTGAGAGGTGTTTCTGTTGGGGACGATAGATCCCCAAACTCATATTTTAAATTTTATCTTACCGATCATCTTATCGATTAAATGTTAGATATTTTTATTGGGGTCAATTGATGAACTATCGATTAAATGCGCAAATAGGTCAATTAATGAACTCATTGATTAATGTTTAAAAATTTTCTATCGATTGTAAATAATTGTATAAATACGCTTGACTTGTATGCTTGATCTGATCTGCCTGCCTGACTTGGTATCTGCTGTTGCTTGTAGAATACACTTTCTACGCCCTACCAAGACTTCTGGATCGAGTTAGCTGAGTCGAAGTCAACGGACCAGAACAGTCTATTGAGTCTCTGAATCCTGAGCCTTCGTTCCGTTCCGAATAAGTCGAATCAGTAGTATCCTTAAGGTTAACGAACCTAACAGTTTCTCTGTCCGGACTTGCGATTGGACAGTCGTCAGCATACGCGTGTACGAAGTTGAGACCTCGAAAAACGTCGTCTATGAATCTTTGGAATGTTTGAGCAGCATTCCTTAGACCGAAAGGCATTCGCAAAAATTCATAGAGTCCGAAAGGAGTTATGATAGCTGTTTTCGGTATGTCGTCAGTAGCCATAGGGATTTGGTTATACGCTTTAACCAAGTCGATTTTCGAAAAGACAGTTGTACCTTTCAAGGTAGCTGTCAAATCGTGAATGTGAGGCAACGGGTAACGATCGGAAATGGTTTTCGTGTTCAATCGCCGATAGTCACCAGTTGGACGCCAATCGTTGCTGTCCTTTTTAGGGATCATGTGTAACGGAGCTGCATATGGGCTATTCGACGGTCGTATGATTCCTAAATCTATCATGTGATCGAATTCGTTTTTCGCTAACCTTAGCTTTTCAGGAGCTAGTCGTCGTGCTTTAGAGAATACAGGTGGTCCTGTAGTCGTGATGTGATGTGTAACATTGCTGGTTACACACGGTAGTTTCGGTTGAGTTTGTTGTATCCCCGGGTACTTATCGAGTAGTGGCTGATAAAGTGGGTCTATCATATGTTTAACTGTGACTGGGGATAATTTGCGACCAGAAAAGGAAGTTACGCAAACGGACAAATTAGTGTTTCCGTCTACTAGCCTCCCTTTGCGCGTGTCGATGATCAGATTGTGGTGTTGTAGAAGGCCCATACCAATGATTGGCATAGAAACATCTGCAATAACGAAAATCCAGTGGATGGGTTTGCGTAAACCCACGTTAAGGTAAACGTACCTTTTCCCATACGTAGCGATCGGTTTTCCGTTTGCCGCCTGTAAGTTAAAAGCCGATTCGTGAAGCCGGTCGTTAGGATTTGCTGGGAGAACGCTAATTTCTGCGCCAGTATCGACGAGGTAGCGAACTCTCGTTGTCACATCTGTGACGTATAACAGACGGCTATGTTCGCCGGCTACGGTTGCCGTTAACGCGTGCCGGCTTGGAAGTTTCCCGAGTTGTTTTTCGAGTACGTCGGTTTCGTGTTGGGAAAGTTGCAGGGTTTTCTGCAATTTCTGGAAAACTTTCCATACTGGTTATGATACCAGCACCAGTCGGGGTTATCTGTCTCTCGTGGTCTAGAGACAGATCGCTTACGTGAAATGCTTCTACGTGGTGTGCGCGATCTCTTACGGTCGGTACGAAGACTAAGATAACGCGTGAGTGTGTGACATAACTCGGTTATATCATTCTGAGTCGTTTGAGGTTTTTCGTTGACTGAAAATACCTCGGTAGTAGAAGGTTTCGTAATTTCTAAAATGCGGTCGGCAGATGCAGCTAGCTCGTCTAAGGCGTTGTTCTGGAACGAGACCAGAACTGCTTGCACCTGTTGGGGAAGTTTTGACAAGAAGAGTTGTTTGAATAGACCTTCGTCGAAGGTTCTTGGGCCTATTACCTCTCTCATCCGTTGCAACACGTCTGTCGCAGAACCATGTTGCAGGTCAATGTTATTGAAGAGTTGATCTAAACTTTGTCGATCGGTTAGGTCTCCTCGTTTAAGAATCGAGCGTTTTAAAATTTCGTAAGGATCGGAAACATCACTAGTAAACATACTAGGTGTTACGTACCTGTTGAATTCGCACGGTAGTGCCTTGACTACTGCGAGGAATTGTGCACGTGTGTCGATCACACCGTGCTCGGAGAAGTCGGCTTCTGCGTAGCAAAACCAGGCTTCGATGTTGTCGGGTCAGAAAGGCATCAGCTGAAACGAAAGCTGGGACAAAGTCTTAAGCTTGAGTACTTTAGGTGTCTGTTCAGTCATGATGAAATATGAAGTACGATAATGAACGAGGGGAAAATATATATATATCCAAGAAAAAAAACACGAAAAAAAATCACAATGTTTAAAAAAGTTAAAAAAAAATAAGGCAATGATATATAAAAATCCCAAAAAGGAACAGACTCACAGTTGCAATTAGGTGTGCCAGATCACGTCGGTTTCACCAATGATGATGTCACAGGTATTCAGTGTTTGACAACGCTTCTACCAGTAACACCTTCTAATATATTTCGTTCCCGCCCAGAGAAATCAAAAGACAGAGTCGAGGAGATCGGAAGAGTATATTTGGCGATGACCAATATATCGGAATTCTCTGATCTAATCTGGCTAGCGATTGCGGTTGATGTTGAGCACGGCGTTACCACACGTGATCTGGTGCGGATGACTGACCGAGCGCCTTCAGCTAGGTGAGTCCACTAAAACATATGGTCAGCATCCAATGTCGAAAACTTAGTGCTATTTATTTTGGGGATTTATTTACCGCTACAAGTCCTTTAAGAGAAAACTTGACCTATTTTTAAGGTCTAAGGATAGTTTGTTACTATAAATTACCAATTTCTTTTACCTCTTTTGCTATTATAATAGCTGGGTTCCTGCCTGGAGGAATTGGTGATCGGCTGCTACTAGATACGGAAGCCCGTTAAGCGAAAGCTTCTATTCCGTACAAAGCCATCTGAACAATTAAGCAAACGTGTATACTACAAAACAGAAAAAAAGTTAAATTACTGCTTTTCTCAGTGATTTCACAGTAGCAAAAGACGACTTAAATGTAAGAAAACTTAATATTTGTGCAATTAAACGATACCTAACAAACCCACGCAATTGAAGTACGTAATGACCGCCTCTTGTCTGGCGGTTCATGGTTGTTGAAACAGAACGGTGGGCGGCTTCCATCTGACTGACTGACCCTTTAATTTGATATGTTATGCCACATTTGAAAGTAAGTATTTCGTGCTTGCGTAAAACTAAGTTTTAGGTGTTGTGCCTACATGGATACAGGTATCCTCTGTGATGAAATGTAATGTTTCGCTGTGTAGGCAAAACTCGGATGTTTTTCGCGAAAAAACAGGCGGATTAAGAAAATCACTAAAAAAGTTCTGTGAATTTAGTTAGTTAAATTTGTCATTCTTTTGTTTTTATGTAGAATTTATGTCTGCCCCAAATGTTATCGAATGCTCCTCGAACGGTTAGTCTTAATTTTCATATATCCCAGATCTGCTTCCAAAAGCTTGTGCCTGGTGGTTTTCTAAACCTATGGAATTTTTAGCACAAGAAAGTAGTACGTATGATGCTGGCTTTCGCGAATCCCTATTGGCTGTCAAAAAATACATTAAAGAAGAGGTTTGGAGTGTTTACGTACCACATTTTCCCAGGGTCCATTCGATGGGATGCTTGGTTTCAGCCAAGGTGCAGCATTCCTACTTCTGCTACAAATTATGATGGAGCATAAATTAAGTGGTACGGTTCGTGAAAATAATTGTTTACTTTCACCTCAAAGTTTGTATAAACACCTTATTCATGTTTTGCATCATATTCGTCATATGACTTATACTGTGTGGTGGCTGGTACTATGTCAAGACCACATAGGCTATTCTAGCTTCTGAAACGACCAACTTAGTCATTCTTCTAAAGCCACATTTGATCTTGTTGGTTATTTGCTTGTTAATCCTAAATGGTTTCATGTGATCGTCTGTGTTCATTGCTTACCCTCTTCATCACATGCTTGTAACTTATTTTTGTCTGAATATAAATATCAAGTCGAGTTGGTTCACTCGCATTCTCTACTGCACATCATTTCGTTTGGCTTCTCCTTCACTACGTTTCTCAGATTGACTGTCCGGATCAATGAGTGTGCGAAATATACGAATTCGAAATCCATTTGACACATTCTATTCCGTTATAATTTAACGTTTAGCGTTTTAAAATTTCGTAAGGATCGGAAACATCACTAGTAAACATACTAGGTGTTACGTACCTGTTGAATTCGCACGGTAGTGCCTTGACTACTGCGAGGAATTGTGCACGTGTGTCGATCACACCGTGCTCGGAGAAGTCGGCTTCTGCGTAGCAAAACCAGGCTTCGATGTTGTCGGGTCAGAAAGGCATCAGCTGAAACGAAAGCTGGGACAAAGTCTTAAGCTTGAGTACTTTAGGTGTCTGTTCAGTCATGATGAAATATGAAGTACGATAATGAACGAGGGGAAAATATATATATATCCAAGAAAAAAAACACGAAAAAAAATCACAATGTTTAAAAAAGTTAAAAAAAAATAAGGCAATGATATATAAAAATCCCAAAAAGGAACAGACTCACAGTTGCAATTAGGTGTGCCAGATCACGTCGGTTTCACCAATGATGATGTCACGGGTATTCAGTGTTTGACAACGCTTCTATCAGTAACACCTTCTAATATATTTCGTTCCCGCCCAGAGAAATCAAAAGACAGAGTCGAGGAGATCGGAAGAGTATATTTGGCGATGACCAATATATCGGAATTCTCTGATCTAATCTGGCTAGCGATTGCGGTAGATGTTGAGCACGGCGTTACCACACGTGATCTGGTGCGGATGCCTAACCGAGCGCCTGCAGCTAGATGAGTCCACTAAAACATGTGGTCAGCACCCAATGTCGAAAACCTACAGAGCTATTTATTTTGGGGATTTATTTACTGCTACAAGCTTATTGATAAGACATATATGGTTGATCCTATCAAAAGCTTTTGAGAATTCAAGGTAAACGACGTCAACCTTTCCCCTTGCGATCAAGAATGATTGTCCATCTGTCCACTGCAGTCAGCAGGTTGGTTATACAAGAATGACCTTTCCCGAAACCGTGTTGCCGAGGTGAAAAGAAGTTTAAGGATAATAAATAGGCGCGTATACCATCGCATATCAGAGATTCCATAATTTTTGAAGGGATAGAGAAAAGAGCCGCCGGTCGGTGGCTTGAAGGTCCACTGCGTCGACATCCTTCGAAAATTGGTGTGATGTGAGCCAGCTTCCAAGTTTCCGGTAATGTGCCTCGGTCCAGCGAGTATGAGAATATCACGCTAAGCGGTATTGTCAGGACTGAAGCTGCTTCATCCAGTATAGCAGGGTGAACCATATCCGGACCAGGAAATGCTGCAGTTTCCGGTACACTAATCCAGCTCTCAGGTTCACTTCGGAAAGTCCTGTGCAGTTGCAGATGAAGCTTTTGTCAATATAGTTCATGTGGGTCGGTTGAAATGTCCGAAAGTACCGTTCGGCCAGAAGGTTGGCGACGTCACCGTCGTTGTTGGTCGGGCTGTATGACGGAATAAGCTTTTGGGATTGGACACAAATTTATCGATAAGCTTTATCTGGTATTGAAGCCTGTCTTCTGTTATTACCTTTGTATATATGTTCCTTACATGCTTTTTGTTGCCTTTATGCGCCGTTGTTGTCAGTTCGTTTGTATTCCATCCAACATTGCCTTTTGCGGCTTAGCAAACGAAGAGTGTGGTTCTTGATGACTGAAGGTTGCTTGTAGATTTTGGGGACCATTTGAGAAACAGACTGCTTTGTAGCACTTCAGATCGTGTGCAATAAACCCCAATGAGCATTCACATCAAGTTGAGGGGGAATTTCCCAATCCACATGCTGTAGATTGTTCTGAAAAGATGGCACATTCAAGCGTTTGAAATTCCAGAGCCTGTTGTTGGTGGGATATCGTAGCTCAGTTTTACTGATAAAACTAAAGACTATGACGGCGTGATCGCTTCTCCCCGAGGGAGCCAGGATTGATTGTCAATTAAGAATTCTTCGTTTGTAAATACCCAGTCTCCATCGAGTTGCCGACGTCACATTTCCGAATAATCCCAGACCCTCAATAAAGTTGTAAGACCGAGCTTCAGTAGAGTTTCCACCTCCAATATACGTATGTTCCGCGAAATTGACTTTAGGAAAACTGAAGTCCCCTAGAATCAAGATATGAGTGAATCCGAGGCGAGTAGAGCGGGATAATCCTTCTAGCATACGATTGTCGTACACGATGTTAGCAGTGGGCTTCCTGTAGATGACTCCAACTAGACACCTCGAGGTGGTAGACAATCTCACTGAGCACCGTACGGATTCATCAACGTTGATAAACTCTTGGTTGTGTACTTGATGTACCTCCAGGCAGGATCGTAAGTATAAGGCTACTCCACCCACAATTCCTGATTTTCTGTCATTGCGAAACAAAGACATCCCGAGTATTTCTAGCTGGTCCGTAAACTGAGAAGATAATCAAGTTTCAGATGTTCATATCAGATAAACATTATTAGCATAGCTGAGTTCACGTAGCTCATCCATTTTATTCGATAAACTCGCGGTGTTCATGTTTAAGCAGATTATGCTTTAAATTTGAAACGCATGAGCTTCCCCACCCTGTTTGTCTGTATGAGCCTTATGTGAATGGACAGGTAGCCTACCTATACAAGGTTTCCCGTGTTGGTAGCCCCCTTCCTTTCCACGTATTTTTTATGGTCAGTATAGTCCACAATTGGAACTAATCCCGTTTTCGTATTCGCTACATTCCAACAAGTAATGCAATATTTGTGCGAGAGGTTAGATAGGTATACTTCTACAAATTTCGTATTCACCGAAAAATATTCCTAGATTCGTCTACCTACTGGAAAAGTGGGTATTTCCGCAAAATTCACACCCTATATAGCAAACGTAGAATTTTCACTAGAAGTAACGATTTTCCCTCATCTCACCATAAATCTCCGAAAATTTCTGTTTCATTTGCTTGTGAAGTAACATATATATTTAGTGATTTCCGCGCCGAAAATAATAAAGACCGGGTTTCTTTCTTTATTAATGATACTTTGTGTAACCATGTTTATATCCACTATCTGTTGTTAGTCTGTATCAGTAAGAAAAATGAACATAAAAGATTGTGTTTATTGATCATGCTGCCATTGTTATTAAAAAACGCTACCTCAGTCATCTTTTCTTTTGCTTTATTGGCCAAGGCTTGATTGAAGATTATAACGGTATTCTAACATCCTTTTAGTCCGTATCACACTACGTAAAAATTTTGACCCGGATTGTTATTCCATAACCCTATCAGATTTTTATTTTTCCACCATATGCAAAGCAACATTTGCTAACCAGGTGAACGCACTTTTTCGGGTTTACACACAAACATTTCGGTATTTCATTCCCTTTTTTTTTTCGCATGTCCATGATGTATTTATCCGTATCTGACTGCGTTAACCAGACTGTTTATTATTGGAAATGTCCATCATTACATATGAGGTGCAGATTTCCTAAGTTTCTACACCTTTTCAGTTGATATTAAGAAACAAAAACGTATCACTAAACTTCATGTTCCCCTGGTCTTATCGGACTATTGCATACGCAGCCCCCTTGAGATATGCCACTGAAAACAGATACACGCGAAATGCATTTACATATGATTACCGAGGTCACAATTAGCAAACATACATAGGAAGGTCATAAAATACCCATGTCAGAGTGACACATTTATCGGACAGGCAAAATTAATTGAAATGTTGCGTGATTTTTAAGCACTATATAATGTGTCAGATTTGCATCGAGCAGATACATGTTCCCGTTATCTATTCTTTAATAAGTTACCGGCAGTTTATATATTTGCTGAGTATTGAGATTGGAACCTGTCCGATTTTCTTCCTCATGAACCATCTGGGTCGACAGATTTATGAGACATATTTTTAAAGACTGATATTTCACTTATTTTATTGCGTTATTTACTAGCAATCAACTTATTTAATATTAACGAGGATAATCACTAGTCTTTAATTTATCATTTATCATCTACACTAATTCAAGGACTAAAAGGTATTCATTTGCACGTTTTCGACATTTTAAGGTCATATTTACACATTCGGATGTTAGGTACCTAGTCACTCGACGCATTTAAGTTGGTAATCTACACTGTGTTCGGTAAAAATCAGAGTGAATGACAGTTCTATCCGTAAGCCGATGCAATATGTATAATGTATGGTCTTCATTTTGATGGTAAACACTTGTCCATTCCCATAGGTAAGTTAAATTCACAGTGGTTGGGTACCGTCCGAGTCATAGAGGTGAATAATTCGAACTATGCTGAGTAAAAAAGAACAACAATATCTAAAGATAACAATAGATCTGTATAACGATTATAAGGATGAAAATCTAAAAACACGTCAGATAAATAAATCACTAAATGGCAGAAAGGTAGTTAGTCTTAAAAAACGAATACTTTCTAAAAAACAAATATCGTAGATCTATCTTGTACAAATGGAACTACCCAATCGCTCAAAAAGGTCAAACGTCGGTACCAAATGAAAATGTCAGGGGTATCCAGCCCTTGAGAACACTACCGCTGAAAATTTCTATTTCAAGGATCCAAAAAGATTTAAATCAAATTTCGAGAGTGGATTGATTGTGTGGTTGGTCGACCTTTCCAGATGTAGACAATCTCATCCGACAATTTGTTGCAAGAGAAGTTTATCAAGACGTACTCATACGTGATTAGTGTCAAGAACTCACAATAGTACTCATTCCGAGGATTTATTCACCACTACGAAAGTTTGTTCTGCCGGCCGGAAAAAAACAGTGAAATTCTGGGAAAAAGTATTTTACCATCATATGATGATTCAGTTCAATCACTTCACGTAGCAATAATTCGAATTAAAAATGGCAATATACTTACCTAAATACATCAATGGATAACTATAAACTAAACTGCCGTACGGATGGTAAAAGGCTAAAACGTTACTAACTGGCGGCGTTGTTGACATCAAACCCGTTTAGGTGCTGTAAATAGAATTCGTTCTAAGGAGGAGACGATGGGGGTTGTAATGAATAGATTAGTTAATGGATTACATGCGGAGACTAAAATGTGATTATTCTACTGACTGTCTCAAAGAGATGCAGCATCCACTGACTTGATGTGGCCGTAATATCTGATCAAGTATTTTCGCGCATTAGTATCTGTCGAAAATCAAGGGGTCGGACACCAATGTCGAAAGACTCAATGATATTCATGCTCGGGGATCATGGTTACAATTTTGGGACCGTTAGGAGCAAAAGATAATGAGTGGTGGTATGTTCTGTGACATAGGAATTTAGCTGCTAAAAATATTTGGATGGTCCCTTTTCGCGTCTCATTATATGTGAGGGACAAAACAAGTATGGAAAAATAATTTACCTTTGGAATAGCTAACTGTAGAATACAGTCACTTTCCTAATATGATTCCGTAAGAACTGATTACAGAATAATAAAAAAATAAATTTATGAAAAAGTTCACTCGGAAAAATAGGGGCAACGACATTTGTCAGTGACTAATTGTGTTACTTTTGGTTTCAGAATTGTACGTCGTAGAAAACCGCAATACTTTATCAGGACTTCAAATCGCTACGTTACTTCAGTAGGTTGTGTTTCGTTATTTGCTTCACTTCATTTGTTTAGTTTGTCAGCATTTCCTCAGCTATAAAGGGTCTTATTTTTGTTGCATTTCTCTCTTTCTTTTATGATTTTCATCGTCACACGTATTCAATTATGAATGAAAGTGCAAATAATGTATTTCCCATTGGTTTGTTCTATATGAAATAAACGCTCAGTATTGAGTGTCACTTGATGTATTTTAACGTCCGAAAATTTTTCTTAGTGATCCATGAGGCTGTTCATACGGCTTGTATATGGTTTATTTGGTAGTTCGGGTTTTTTGCGGCTAAATTCAATATAAGTTCGAATCGTAGATTCAAAGTAATGGTCACGAATGACTTGAAACTGTTCAAATAAGTTATATATAGATAGTACTTATAAGTGAATAAATGTTGTTTGTGCAGCACATTTGGTGACTGCCGCCGACAGAGGGTCTTAATTTCAATCAGATTACTCGTAGACTCTGCTTGTCGTTCATCATATTAGTACTGCAATGTATCATCTAGCGGGCTATACGCTAGTGATAAGGCAGCTGCAGTACTGTGTGCGTTTTAGACCTATTTATATTTCGAAGGGTTTTTAGTCATATTTAAGTTTCAAATACTGTTTAATCTTACATTTAAAATTGTCATCGCTCATCTGCGTGCATAAATATACTGTATTTGGTGAACTTATTGATTATATTTTTCTGAAACCAGGTGCTCTACAACTAAATTTTTAAAAAAAATCCTACGTCGCCTTTTTATTTATCGTTATAAAACTTGTGTGTCGTTTTTTTGTGATCAATACTTTATGCTTTTATTTTGGACTTACTGTATGGTTTGGGCCACTACAACTCAGTGACTTAGATCTTAGGTAGTTTAGATTTCAAGTCCTTTTCAGTCAATCAGTCAGTAACAACGTAGAACTTTGTACGTACGTACATCAGTTCGAGTTGCCACACCACATTAGCACAGAGATGCAGTGGTCGATTCAAATCCCGTAGTGGTAGAGGTAATAAGAGTATAAGCAGTAATCCGAAAGATTAGGGTTTGGAGATGTTATTTAAAGAGTATAATACAGTGAAATAAATTTGGGAAGAGAAAAAAAAGACAGGGAGGAATAAGGAGATCAAAATTTGGGAGAACACAAAGAGTGTATGCACCTGCACCATTGCAAACGATTTTGAGCCATGTCATTCAGGGTCTCTAACCATCGGTTGCTATCATCTCGCGGTCCCCAACCAGGTAGTCTGCACCTACCAACATGACTCAATCCACTTGTCAGTGACTTCATAAATTTGTGCCATGTTTTGGTCTGGCCGCCCCTAGCTTTCTTCCAACCTACTCCACTCATATACCACTGAACATCGCACGTCGAGGCAGTCGGTGGTTGGGCATACGTAACACGTGTCCCAGCCATCTCAACTGATGAAGTTTCACTACGTCATCAATGGATTTGCCATCCTTACCTAGTACCCGTTTCCTAACAACTGCGTTACTTACTCGATGGTCCCACGATATACGAGCAATATTTCGAAGACACCTATGGTCAAATACTAGTAACCTACGAATATTCTCTACTCTTACCGGCCATGTTTCACTGCCATAAAGTAGGGCGGAACGAACTGCTGCACAGTAAACCCGTCCTTTGGTTGATAGACGGATATCCCGCCTACGCTATAAATGACGCAAGTTGGCGAAAGCAAGCTAGTCGAGCCTTCTGTATCCGTGCTGAGATTTCGTCACACACCAGACTACAAGGGCTGATGAGACTTCCAAGATAGGTGAAGCGATCGACACGCTCAATTACTTCACTCCCTATCATTAGTTCGGGTGTCAATGCAACCCAATCCTGAAGCAACATTTTGCATTTCGAGGGGGAGAATCGCATCCCGAACATGCTTGCATTGTTGCTTAGAGTGGTCAGAAGACTGCATTTTGTCAGCGTCTTCACCAAATAAAACTATGTCACCAGCATATTCTAAGTCAACAAGTGAACCTCCCGGTAGAAGTTCAACCCCTGGAAATCTAGACGAGGAAAGCGTTATCTCTAAAAGTACGTCGACGACAAAGTTAAACAAGAATGTAGAGAGTGGACAGCCCTGACGAACACCACTTGAGGTAATCAATTCTGATCACAGTTCGCCATAAGCTCTCACTCGACCTGTTGTGTTCGAGTAGAGAGCCTTTATAAGGTTAATGTACTTCTTTGGTACTCCTTTCAGTGACAAATATTGCCATAGAACCTTACGATCGACAGAGTCGAATGCTGCTTTAAGGTCGAGAAATACTACCATTGTGGGGCATCTGAACGTGTGTCTGTGTTCTAGAACCTGACGTAGTGTGAATATCTGACCTATACAACCACGTCCAGGTCGGAAACCAGCCTGATTTTCTCTAGTCTGCTCTTCACGAGCTTTAGTTAGGCGTCGAAGAATTATTAAAGCTAATATTTTAGACACTATATTAGTCAAACTGATTCCTCTGTGATTGTCATAAGAGGACTTTTGTCCTTTCTTATAGACTGGCACAATCAGTGATTGAGACCAGTCAGATGGGATTACGTCCAGTTCCCAAATTCTACCTAAGACCTCAGTTAATCTCACTGCTAATACTGGACCACCATCCTCAAAAATCTCAGGAGTAAACCTGTCAGGGCCTGCTGTTCTCCCTCGCTTTAGATTTCCCATGGCTTTTTCAACTTCGCAAAGAGACGGAGGACCTACATTAACTTACCATTCAGGTTGACTGGAGATCGTGGGAAACCGAAGTGTGGCTGAAGGCCAGTTGAACTGATCCCTGAAGTGTTCTGCCCATCGATCCAATCTCCTGGATTGAGAATGTATAATATGTCCGTCTTTCTCTGAGATTGTTTCGCTAACAGTCGGTTTCCTAATACCGGTTTCCTTAACAAGTCTGAACAATTGTCTGCTATTACCTATTGCCGCTGCCTTTTCCATCTCTCTTGCTTTCGCTACCCACCACTGTTCACGATCATTACGTAGACTTCCTGTCAGCTTGCGCTTAAGCTGACTCCGCTCCTCATTATGTTCAGGGCCAGGTGGAATGAGTTTCCGAGCATCTATCAGTGCGATAGATGCTGCTGAGATCCAGTGTTGCTCCCTAACCTTACGGGTTACCGTACTTGCAGATATCACTACTGTTTCCACAGTTTTTCGGATATCATTCCATGCTGCCTCGGGGTGGGCATCACATACATGGCTGCCTAACTGTTTTCCTAGTTGTTCCTGAAATATACTCTTAGCTTGACTATCATTAAGTAGGGCCCTAAGAGGTTTACTTGCAGCGTCTATCCTACGTCCAGTAAGACGCAGACAGATACGCGCTCGTACGAATTAGGGGGTCGCCATGTTAAAAGATGTTTTTCCTTATGCTTAAAGTTAGTATTTGCAAGAAACAGGCGGTTATTTGAGCATAGCTGCAACAGACGGTCGCCATTATCTGTTCTTTGAGCCACGATGCTATAAGATCCACCTAGGTGTCTTTCCCCATCGCTTAGTTTACCTACTTGAGCATTAAAGTCACCGGCCACTATTACTACATCCGAGCGCCTAGCTTTTCGGAGAAGGTCGGAAAGCTTTCTGTAGAACTCATCTTTTACATCATCTACGCTGCAGTCAGTGGGAGAATAGACAGAAACGACGAAGAGGCAACGACGAGTTTCCCTATCTTTTCGGATCCTTACTGTTCCGTTTAGTCGGACAGCGCACAAACGACTGTCTACTGGGATCCACTCTAAGAGAGCTAGTTCTGCCCTAGGACTCAATGCTATACCTACGCCGGCGATGCCACGGGAAGCAGAATCAGGGCTTCCAGATACACGAAGTGTGGATCGAGTCGGTTCTTTATTTTGACATGGTGAGGTCAGATGAATGACACTACTCGGATCCTGTATGCGCGTTTCCGAGACGCAGCACACATGGATGGCTTGGGATTCTAAAGTCCTAGCTAACGAAGCCTGTCGTCCTATTTGGCACAGTGTTCGGACGTTCAAAGCTCCTACGTGTAGTTTAGAGTGTGGTTTCAGGAGACCAGGAATAACGTTCCGCGTACTCGAGTCGTTTGACCTAGCGGTGCGATGTGATAAAGAGACGTGAGGAGGGTTAGTCATGGGGATAAGAGAGGTATTAGGAGGTGTAGGAAGGATTTGAATGTGACCAACTTGGTCTCGTGTGCTGTTACGGGTATGAGGGCTGATATCACTTCCCGGCTGCCCACACCGTGGAAGGGTATTTCTTGAGGAACCTGAAAAGGAAATTGGATTAGTGTTGGTCTTGACGACCTGGGAGCGTGACCGCAGAGCCCAAGGGACAACTGCTTGAGGCCGGTCGCGCACGGCTTTTTCGTGGAAGGTTTTTAACGTGTTAGCTCCGTTCTTCAAAGGGCCTTACCGCCGGAGACGGAAATCTGTGAGGTAAGGTGAGGTGTGACAGTTTTAGGGTCGACCTCTTCTAACCCCACCCCTCCTTGTGGGAAGGCAGCATCGCTGCAGATGCTGGTTGTCCGAGGGAAACACCTTACTGCTGTCACACCCCTCTACAGTCAGCAGCACGACTTTGCCCTCAGACCTTGAGTTGCTTCTTTTAGTCTTACCGTACTCCAATTGACCTGCCTGGCATGGTAGAACCTACAGTCAGTCAGTCAGTAACAACGTAGAACTTCGTACGTACCTACAGGAACATATGTTCCAGCCAATATAACTCGGTTGGGTCATCACGATAGGCAAGCCCGACCACTGCGTCAAGGTAGCAGCTTCGATCGGGTTTCAAGCCCTTTTACTATCAATTTACTATTTTTACCCGTCTGTTATTATTGCTTTTATTCGTATGAGAAGATATGAATAGAAAGAAACAGGAAGAAATATGAACTGGCAATTTTTAAGCACAAAATGCGCTTATATTGAATGATGAATGCGATCGATAACGTTTGGCAATGAATTTTGAGCATGAAACTTTCCTGATAGAAAAACATTATCCCAGGA